CACTGATTGGATTCTCTTATACAGAGAATTTGGAAGTTTAAAGCAGGACATGGAGTAGGAAGGCATTGCTGCGAGTACTGATTTTAACATAATTGTTTTCCCTGCTGTAGATAGGAATCTGGATGACCAGCTCCTTGCTCTTTGGCGGATTCTATCGACAATTATAGTGAATAGGTCTTTCTTTCTCCTGCCAAAGAGCTCCGGAAGCCCCAGGTATTTCCCTAAGCCTCCTTCCTTTTGAATTCCAAGCTGAGTCTTTACTCTTTCTCTTGTGTCCGCAGGGGTCTTTGTAGAGAAGGTTACTGCTGATTTCTGAGCATTTATCATCTGACCTGAAGCCAGTTCATATTTTTTGAGGATCTCCATCAGTGTTGAGCAGTTTTCAATATCTGACTTGCAGAAAAACATGGTATCGTCAGCGAAAAGTAAGTGACTGATTCTGGGACTCAGCTTTCCAACTTTTATTCCTGTGAGTCTGTTTTCTCTTTCAGCTTTTTTGCAGAGTCCCGTCAATACTTCACTACACAGGATGAAGATATAAGGGGAGAGAGGGTCTCCTTGTCGGATTCCTCTCTGTGGACTCACATTTCCTTGCGCAGATCCGTTCAGCAGGTAAGAATAATTCACTGTAGTAATGCACTGCATCAACCAATTTATCCAAATGTGATGGAAACCCATTCTCTGAAGAACCAGTTCAATGAATTCCCATTCTATTCTGTCATAGGCCTTGCTCATGTCAGTTTTCACTGCCATATAAAACCTTTTTTTGGCTGTTGAAGCATGTAGGTAGTGGAGGACTTCATGAGTGATGAGGACATTGTCGGAGATCGCCCTTTGAAGAACAAATGCGGATTGGTTTTCAGCTACCAGGTTGTGAAGAACTGGTTGAAGTCTTTTGGTAAGTATCTTAGAGATAATCTTGTAGTACACCGTACACAAGGCTATTGGTCTATAGTCAGATATCTTTTTTGGGCTTGTGATCTTTGGTATAAGTCTGACATGGGTTAGGTTAATGTTTCTTGGCAGTATACCTTAAGAGAAGAAGTTCTGAATTTCCAATATGATCTGAGGACCAACTGTTGACCAGTGTGATTGGAAGAAGCTTGCTGAGAAGCCGTCGGGTCCTGGTGCCTTGTCTGCATGGATGGAGAAGCATGCAAGCCTGATTTCTTGAGGGAGAGGTATGGCAATCAGATCGATATTTGTTTTTGTTGATATGCATGGACTGAGAGCCTCATGAACTGTTGATTCTCTCTCTCCATCCTCAGAATGGAATAGGTTTTGATAGTAATCAGTGATGACTCCCAGAATCTTTTCTTCTTCATAGAAAACTTGGCCAGCCTCATTTTCTAGGACAGAGAATTTATTTACCGCTTTCCTGCCTTTGGTTATTGCATGGAAATAACCAGTGTTTTTGTCACCTAGGGTTAGCCAAAGCTGGCGACTTCTTTGCTTCCAGAAGTCCTCTTCATCCTTGTAGGCCAATCTCAGTTCTTCATTGATGGCTGCGATTACTAAGGTACTGGAGGAGGTGCTTGACATTGCTAGTTCCAGCTTGGATCTTGCTTCCTCTATCCTTTTTTGACTGTTTAAATGTTTCTCTCTAGCCCAAGAAATAATTGCATTTCTGCATCTGCTGAGTTTGAGCTCCACATCTTCATCCTCATCTGATCTCCACTGATTTATGATTAGTTGGGAGACTTCCTTGTTATTCCTGAGTCTTCTGTCATAGCGGAATAATCCTTTTCTTCTCTTTTTCTGCAGGTCAAAGCAAGTGAGAAGTGGTCTATGATCGGATCCCTCGAACCTCAGATATTCACATCTTCCTGAAGGGTAGATTTCAGCCCAGGAGCTATTTGACATTGCTCTATCCAGGCGACAATGGACTAGATGGTCATGTCTTTGTCCTCTCCAGGATAGGAAGTTCCCGGAGTGTCTCAAGTCAAAAAGATCACACTCAGACATAAATGATCTGAGATCAATAAAGGAGCCTTCTGGTCTATTAGGACCGCCTTGCTTCTCAGATGAGTCTATTATATCATTGAAGTCACCTGTTAAGAACCAGGGTTCATCTCTAGCTTGTCCAAGTGCTGACAGTTGATCCCAAACGCTTTTCCTTTTTGATTTGTCAGGTTCCCCATACACAAAGGTAGCAAAGAAAGATTTACCCTCAGCCTTGATGTGTGTGTCTATGAAGTTTGGACATGCATCCAGAATTTCCAATTCTATATGATTTTTCCACAGTATTGCTAGTCCTCCACCTCCTGGACTGTGGGGGGATACTAACTTGTTTGCTGAATAGTCCATCCATTGAAGCTTAGAGAGAACAAAATCATCAGCATTTTTTGTCTCCATGAGGAATATTGAATCAGGAGAGATAGCTTTGTGAATCTCTCTTAGCCTTTGGACTGTCATGGGATTCCCCAAACCACAACAGTTCCAACTCACTACTTTTAAGGAAGAGGAAGTAGTGGATCCTGAAAATCCACTTTATTCTTCACTATAGCTGGGATGATAACAGGTAAAGGTGGTTCTCTAGTATTAGAGGGACCTGCCTCCTCAGGCGGCAAGGTGAGTCTCTGCTTTGCTGACTTTCGCTGAGGTACAGTTTGATTAGGTTCTCCTGCTGCAGTGTTTTTTCCCCCATTTGCTCTTCTTCTTGGGGAGTGTTGAATAATCTCTTTGTTTCTTTTGCTTGATTTTGCGCCTTTTAAATTCAGAGGGCTTTTATTAACTGGTTTGTTTAGTGGTGGTCTACCCCTCTTTTTCTTGACAGCTGTGGGTCCAGTGGCGTTTAGGGTTGCTGGATGGGATGGAAGATCTGGAGACTGGGGTGCTAAAGCCACTGAAGCAGCAAGAATCTGGGCTGCTGTTTCTGCCATCAGTCCTTTGGCTTCACCCTGTAAGACCCTTTGTTTCCTTGCCATACTTTCAGTGGGGTCTGCACAGTTTGTATACTGTATTGTTACTTCTCTTAACTCGCCCATTATTTCTTCAGTTGTAGGTATTGGCCGTGGAGTTAGTGAGGATTCTCCTGCTGTGGATCCTTTTTCTCTTGGGTGGCATCTTGTTCTTGAAATATCAGAGGAGCCAGGTCCATCAGCAAGTGAGTTGACCCGTTCTCTCCATTGGAGATTAGGTCTGGAGCTACTATATTGTGGTCTGTCCATGCTCCTTACTGGTGTTTTCCTAGAGTAGTTTAAGGATCTAGGTGGAGACCTTCTGGTGTTTAAATTTCTGTATCCATAAGATCTGGAGCTGGGTAAAGTAGTAGTCCTGGCCTCCCTAGCAACAAAATGTCCTCCAGAAGGACTGTAAGTGCCTTTGGAGCCCTCTGGTCTAGAAAGCCTGGAGTAGCTTTCTTTTGGTAATTCTCTACTCTGTTCTCGATAGTAGCCTGACACATTCCTTTGTGAGGAAACTTTTCCTATGTCTTGGGCAGGAGGAGGCTTTGCATTGGATTTCCCTGCTTCTAGTCCCGGGCACTTATCAATCTCATGGGAGAGCCTTTGGCAGTGGAAGCAATGCTTTTTGAGATTTTTATACTCCAAGGTAACCAGTGCCTCTCTACCATCAGGAAACTCCACTACTGTCTTCTTTGTAAGTGGTGCAAGGCCATTGATCTCAACCTTTACTTTTGCAGCCGCCGGAGAGATCTCATGATCCAGAACTGTTCCCAACTCTTCTCCAATCTTATAGATCATTGGCTGCTTCCAGAAATGCATTGGGAGTCCCTGCAGTTCTACCCAGAAAGGGATTTGCGAGGGGAAGGACGCAGATATTACTGGTTCCCACTTTTGGAGGATGACCATCGATTGGTCAAAGTGGTAAGGCCTATTATCCAGTACTTTTGTCAAGTCTTCTTCAAAATCAAATCTGAACTGGAAGCAGCCATTTCCAAGATCAGATCCAATGGCTTTGCCTTTTAAATTCCATCTGTTTGACAAATATGGGACGAGGGACCAGAGTCTTTGAGCTGCTGGGTTTGTAAGTCTCCCCATGAGTGTGAGAGCATTCTCCTTTATCAGATCTGAGGTGTCAAAGTCTGGAGCCCTGATTCTCTTGAGAGGAGGTGCAGAGAAGTCTTGTGCAGTTTCTTTTCTAGCTCTAGGAGACTGGTATGACTCATCTCTCTCATGCTCATATCTTGGAGGGTATTTGTGATACGATCTTGATGAGTTATCCTTGTAGTGTGAAATTCCTTTACCCTTTGCAGAGTAGGGTATGCGTGAAGTCATTGTTGTACTTGCCGGGACAAGGAGTCTGCTCCAAGTAGTTGAGAAGTAGGAAAACAAGGTTCTTCACACAAAGGTGAGAGGTTTGCTGAAATTTAAGACAGTACTTTGTCCTTTTAAGACTTTAAGGTTCTTCACATATAGTGAGAGCATTCAATAGCTTTTGACCAGATTTGAGCCATAAATGCAGGAAGGGATGTACCTGACTGAGAGGAGGAGCTGAAAGGCTTATGAAGTTTGGTACTACTGATGGTTCCTCTACAGTCGCCTGCCGTGGTTCAAACTGGCTCAGGGGTGCGAGATCCTTCGTCCACTTTCCTATATATTTGGTAGTTATTTAAAATTGTAATTTTTACAGTCACATTCTTTACCAATCAATTATAAAATTTATACCGTCAAAGTCTTTAAAGCCAAAGTTTCTACAGCGAAAGTTTTTACAGTCAAAGTTTCTACAGCGATAATTTAAAGTCGCTACCAATCGGCCCCTTAGTAGACTACTTTTATTTATGCCTTGTAATCTTTTTGTTTGTGAAGAGCTATCAATGGCTTTATAGAAATGCAGAGCAAAATGGACTCCCAAGTCTCCAACATATTGGAGCAATATCAAGATTCTACGTGTTTTCCAAGAGTTGATATTGTTATTATTGGATTGTTGAACGCATATTGTTATAAGTGTTCATTGTATTAGCCTTTAAATTATTAATAATTTTCAAAACTACAATAGTGGTTTGGGAAGCGTTATGTTCTCTATAAGGTTCAGAAATTTCCATAGTTAGTCGTTTATTAAGAGATATTTGGAGGCAACAAATAAGTGTAAAGGATTGTTTTTGGCAAGGAGCCAAGTCTTCAAAGCGGAAGAGGATGGAAGAACATAGAGCTGATGAGGTCTTTGAGCTTTCCATGGGGATTGGTGAATCCATCACCCTCCGTGTAATACAACTTGATCAATCGTACCATGTTGAGGCACCGAACAAGAACTGGACGTGACACACATTTTGTCATCAAACACTCCTCCATCACTATTTTATAATCATCTCTAATCATCTTCTTAATTTCGCTAACCGCCAATACTTTGGTAACACCATATTGCTTCATGTAACAGTTCACCCCATTAGCCACCTCTCCTATCCTCATCTCATCCTCGTAACTGCATATGTCATTTTCAAGACGGTATAAAACACAATAAGCCTGTAAGGTTTTGGGTTTGGATTCGAACCACTCAGTCGTTTGATTTTCATTGCAATCTTCCAGCGCTACAACCCTTAACATTCCCAAGAATCTCATCGCTGATGAGACAATCCCAACTTCAATGTAGTCATCAAAGGTTGGAAGGTGACTTGATCGGCCCATTTTGATAACTCTACGTACACTTCCCCATAGATCTTAAGCTGCACAATTATCAACATAACACACAAACATTGTTAGGTAGACATTGAGCCAAAATAGAACCTAAATTGGTTGGTGTACCTATTCTATCAAGTATTGCACACTAGAGGATATTCCTCGCGGCTTCATTTCTCTTTCAATATCTTCCACAGTTTCCATTATACTTCAGCTGCTGATTCTCAAACTACTTGGTAGTTCTAAGTTCTTTAATGGCACCTAAATCCCACATACAAATTTTCTCATGCATGTATATATATGTATTCTTTAAACTCGACGTCATTATACGACCAGTGATACATACATAAGTACGTGATATACATATACTAACTACCTTTGCAAAGAATCGATGAAACTTTTAACTTCAGAGAAAGTTCCATATGCATCGCATGCATCATCCATAACTATTGTAACTTGGCAAGCTTTAGTGGTTATAATTTTCCCCAATGAATAGCGTGGCTCGAAAAACAACACTATGACACTGGCGAAGGTGTCCAGAAGCCTGTCAAAGGTAGCTTATATGCAAGACCAATTTCCTTCCACCTTCTGTAACCACATAAACATATTAAACAGAGAATGTTAAGAATCTTAAATCGTAAAACAATACTAAATTAATAAGTGCCGATATCTCTAAGAAACATGTTAAGAATCACATAGCTAGCTGAAGCTGAACTAAGATAAGATTTAAAATCAAACGACCGAGTGGTTCAAATCCAAACCCAAAATCTTACAAGCTTGTTATGTTTTACTCCGTCTTGAAAACGACATAGACAGTTACGAGGAAGAAATGAGGAGAGGAGAGGTGGCTAATGGGGTCAACTGTTACATGAAGCAACATGGTGTTACCAAAGAATTGGCGGTTAGCGAAATTAAGAAGATGATTAGAGATAATCATAATATAGTGATGGAGGAGTTCTTGACGACAAAATGTGTGCCACATCCAGTTCTGGTACGGTGCCTCAACATGGTACGATTGATCAAGTTGTATTACACATAGGGTGATGGATACACCAATCCCCACGGAAAGATCAAAGACCTCATCACCTCTTTGTTCTTCCATCCTCTGCCGCTTTGAATACTTGACTACTTGTGAAAAATAACCTCTCCACTTGTTTGTTGCCACCAAATATCTTTTTCCTTGATAAAACTCCTTCTGTTTCATAAAAAGTGTCATTCTAGTATTTTTCATACAAATTAAGAAATTAAACAAATTTCATTTCTATTATTTGTTAATACACTAGATAGTACTCTTTCTCTAATTAATAAGCTAAAATAGTAGGGATAGAAAAGAGATTTAGTCATGAAATTAAACTGCATTGAAAAAACATAAAGCGACACTCTTTGTAAAACAAAATTAAAACCTTAAAACGACATTTGTGAAATAGAGGGAGTAACTAATTATTTGCGTATAAATACAAACAATGACATGGTAATTTTTGGAGATAGGTCAATAAATAAATGTAACTGTATCTATTTATTATCAATTGATTTTAAATTAGAAGTTCATTGGTTTTAGCAATAAAAAAAAAAACTAAAAATACATATAAAACGCGGGGAAAATAAATAAAACTAGGCCAACGTACTTAGTGACAGTTTTTAGCTCTCTAACGTAATGGACCTGGCAAACGTTTAAGTTGAGCTTCGCAAACTTGAGTAATGGATATAAGCATGTTTCTCACTTTCGGCTCTATAATTGATTCAATCTCTGTCTCTGGTGAGTCAAATTCCTACAAAATATCAGTGATCAAGAATCATGTTCTGCAAAAAAAAGAGTGATTATGATGAAACACATTCATCTGATCAGGTACTTACCGAGTTATCGGTGGCTGGACAGAGAGGATGAGATCTCCTCAAAGATTGGGAGCAACATGAGGCAAGGGACGACTACTCTCAACATCACCACTAGTCTTACTAGAAGCCTTGACACATAAGTTGTGTTTTGTTGATCTTCGGGAAAGAGGAAGAGTTTGGTCTTAAGAGGAAGACGAGTACCGTAGCCAAGGGGTGAGGGAGAGTTTTAGCACCAAAACCCATTCTTGCTGCTTCCATTATTATGTTTCTCTTCTTTATGTTTGATTTACATTTTTCTAAAGCTTTCTCATCTGTCTCACGCTTTAAATACACATCATTCTAATCCCAGTGCACGTGGTGAAGCTGTAACATTTATTGACGGATTTACAAAAAAATTAATAAAAAAAAAAAATTGGCATCGTTGTGCACATTAGATCCGAAAAGAATGCGAGGGAAAATGATAGAGGTTCATTTACTTATAGGGAATCTACACAATCACGTTACTCCTGATTGCTTTGTCTCAATATGTGCAAACAGCTACCAATTTATTTACTTATAGAAAATTGTTTTGCAGAAAAATTAAGCATGTGAAATTAATTACGTAGAATTAATTTGATTGATTCTCCCAATTGAAATAAAGAAGATATCAATGTTTGAATTAAAAAAATTCAAACAAAGAGACGCAAACACGTGATTCTGAACATTACTATTTTTTTTTTTTTTTTTTTTAACATTACTAATTTAAATACATGCAACCATGGTTTGGAGCATTATACGAGAAAACTAAACGTAATTTTTTTCCTTTGTAAGAAAACAGTTATGTATATTATTACGTTTTAAAACCCTCTTAGTTTCTTCTACGCTTCGATTGTCTCATCCTATATATCTCTCAATTTCTCCTATATGCAACAAGAAAAAAAGAAAAGGTGAAATATTATTTTCAAAAGAAAGATCAAAGCAGCGGGAAGAGCTAGAAGAAGAAATGGTTGATCTGCTGAGTTCGGTGATGAACCTTGTGGCACGGCATGGTCGTCGCTATGTTTCATAAGCACATGCGAACGGCTCTACAACTTCTTTTTGGCTAAAACAAACACTCCTTTTTGGCTACCCAAAACATGGAGGACTTTCTACACAAATAATTGAATATTATAATATTTAAAATGGACAGTAATTAATTAAAGCCAACAAGGAAAAACATAATTGTTCACTTTATACAGAATTGACCGGGATTTATCAATCAAGTTCTCTCTAACCGCTTTTGCTCTTTGGCACAATCTCCGAAAACTTTGTTATCTCACCGAGTGAGTTCTTTGAGGTCGGTAGAATTTGACGGAAAAAATAAGGAATGTTTTTACTTAAGCAATATTCGTTTGGTTTAAGTCTTCGGTTTGGTTTGGTTTTGTTTCCCAACTTTTGAATCACGTCTTAACTATTGAGTTGCTTTGTTAAGTTTTTTATTCCATGATTTATTATCTCACGATCTGGAAATTATTTTTTGCAACTGATTCCGATTTTCTATATTGTTGATTGCTTTTAGTACTTAAAAATGAAATGGCAAGATAACCAGTTTTTTCAAACCTGGGAGTCGAATCTAGGGTTCGTCTTGGAGACGCCATGAAACGAAAGATTGAGAAAGACACAAACCCATCTAAGTTATTAGACTTAGATTCGCTCCCTCTTGATCTAAAGATGGTTATACTAACTAGATTGTCTGCCAAGTCTCTAAAGAATTTCCGATGCGTGTCAAAGATGTGGTCTTCCATCATCCGAAGCCGAGTATTCATTGATTCCTTCTTCTCTATGTCCGCAAAGAAATCACGGTTTATAGTCAGTTTGTGTAACATTGTATTCGGTGAGCCTGAGGAGAAGCTTATCTTATTCTTCTCGTTTTCACACGACGAGGGAGATGAGTCTTCTTCTTCTTCTTTGGTACCCAATTTCGAGATGGCTCTTCCTGCTGTGAGCTTTAGTTTCTACTCAGGGTCTTGTGCTTCTTTACATGGCATTCTCGCTGTTGAAACTGAAGGTCAGTTGATGATGTGTAACCCTAGCACCGAGCAAGTCATTAAGTTAACCAGTGACTGTATTTTTGTTGGTTACGATCCGATTGATGATCAATACAAAGTATTATCCTGGGATAACAACATTTGGGAGGATCCTAATGCTCAACTAAAGCACAAGGTATTAACATTGGGAGATGGTCAAGGATGGAGACACATTAAAAATACCACTTTACCTTATAGGGCGATATCACCGAATGTATGCATCAACGGTTTTCTCTACTATGGTGCTTATTGCTTAACACAAACTATAGATCCAGTTATGGTGTGTTTTGATGTTAGATCTGAGAAAATAAGTTTTATCAAAGCGCCTCCGGTTGTCCTCCAATGGGGGAAGGAAGCAGTGTTCATAGAATACAAAGGGAAGCTGGCTTCCATTGTGGGAAACCCTTATGGAGCTGTCTCTAGTTTTGATTTATGGATACTAGAAGACGTCGAAAAACATGAATGGTCAAAACAAAAATGTGTGTTTCCTATCTCTGTGTGGGTTTTTTTTGACCTTGGTGGAATGTCTTTTCCAGGTACAAACAGGGCTGGTGAGATCATCATGGCTCCAAGTTTGTTGTCAGTCAATCTTCAACCCTTCTATATTTTCTACTACAATGTTGAAACAAAAAACATAAGAAGAGTTAGGCTCCTAGGAATGGGAGACAGTGAAGAGTTTAGGCGCTCTTATGGATTCGGGGAGCACGCTAAAGCTTTTGTCAATATCGCACATCAACACGTCGAGAGCATTGCCTTCTTTAAGGATCCTTTAATTTAAGTTTGATTCCAAGAATCCTAATGTAAGAGAGCATGGACAACTCTGCGTTTTGTACCTTTTTATTTTGAATATTTAAGTGTTGAAGGGATTTTTCAACACCAAACAATCTCTACTTTGTTATCTTATGAAGATTGATGTTTTTGGGTTTGTTGAGATGTGTGTTATTTATTTGTGTCCATGTTTTAAGTGTGTTCCTTTGCTCTGTAAGTGTTGAAGGGATTTTTTTTCAACACCAAACAATCTACTTTGTTATCTTATGAAGATTGATGTTTTTGGGTTTGTTGAGATGTGCGTTATTTACTTATTTATTTGGGTCCATGGTTTAAGTGTGTTACAAAACAGAATCTAAGACTGACTTTATTATATATGTTTCTAACTTGTACAATAGTAAATAGCTACGTGCTTTGTCCTTCGATTTGAGTTTTGAACCTTCAAAATGGAACCCTTTAGAGCAAGGAGAGTAAGTGATCGTAGTTTTTGAGTTTTAAACCGTTGACGGCTCGCTCTCGGGCCTCCTGCGAAAGGCTTCTAAAGCTTTGGTCCGTCGCAACATGGTGTTCCACAATCAGCAATGGCCCTTCTGCTTTTGCAATTCATTCGGGAAGCATAGATTTGAACGTCATCGCTTCATTTTCTCCCACTGCTTCAGTGCATGGTTGAGAAGATGGACCGAAAACTTGGTTTTAATTAACCGTTTTTTATGTTTCCATGTTTTTATTCTTTTTGCCATGGTTTCATATGTATAGGTTTCAAATTTTATGTTTGTAACCTAAACTTTTTTCATTATCAATGAAATATTTACAATTTAGCAAAAAAAAAATGGAACCCTTTAGAGTCTTTCTTTTGTTCCGTTTAAAGTCGAACCTTATTTTGTTCCTCGCCGCCTCTCCTATTACCTAACGGAAACATTGACAAATAGATTGATATTTTAACTAGTAGCACTTAATTAATCCAAAGTCAATAAACATAAATGCAACTTAAACATTAGCATAATTTACTAAATATGGTTTACTCCTTAAAACTCACCCACAACAATCACTTGTTCATCCTCTGATTCAAACTCACTGTGGAAGGGATAATCATCGCCATCTTCATCAATAAGTTTATCTTCTTCTCCTTTTCGATCCACCTCGACGAACCACTCTACATTTTCGTCATCACGACCACGCAGGGCCGGCCCAATCATATTTGCTGCCCAAAGCAGAAAAAGAAAAACAGTATGAGGAATCAAAACCAGGATGCTTGTGTATGGGAAAAATGTCCTTACCACTAGACCACGAAACAACTATTGGACTAAAATACTGCCCCTTATATATATAGGATATTTTTTGCGCCTAAAACCCTTGCTTCATGGGTTTTAGCGTCAGGGCCGGCCGGACCACGAGCACATAGGCATTTTCCTCTTTGATCCTCTTTTGCTTGTTGAACAACTTTGAATTGAATTGCACATATACTAGACTGTTGATTTGATCAATGTCCCTCTCACTTTTGTGAATCTACAGCATAAGAGTATATATAATTTGAGAGTTAACATTGTACCAAATTAAGAAACAAATCAAAGTTAATACGTAAAAACACAAACTAGAAGTCAAAGAGAGAATCTCCATTGCTAGTTTGAAATGTTCTAAAATTTCGGCAGAGAATCAATCAGCCGGTTTTAGATAATTCGACCATATTTTTTAGGCTTACCGATTAATTTTTGGTTTGAAAACCAATCAACCGGTTAAGAGATTAATTAACTAAACCGTCAGTAGAATTACTAAACCGTTTTTATTTCCCCGGGAAAATTTCCCGCTTCTCGTCATAATCAATACAGTTTCACATTTTAAGAACCCTAAAATCCCTAATTCGCCGTTAATCGTCACTCTCTGATCAAAACTTCATCTCCTCCGGCGTTTCTCCGTCACAGGTGAGTTGATTACGAAACGTACTTTTTCTTCCAGTAGCTATAAATTCATTGATTCGTTATGTATTCTTCATTCGTCTGTGAAATTCTCTGATTTGTTCTGTGAGAGAGAAATATTTCAATTTGATGGCAAGTCTCTCGTTGATGAGATTACGTTCTGAAGTTTTGATATCGATCTTTTTTTTTTTTCTGAAATTATTCAGATTTTGCAGATATGGATTTGTATTCGACATCGAATTTTTCTCCAGGAACTTCGTTGTTGAAGCGGAACTCTAATGATGTTGGATGGGAATATGGAATTTTGTATGACTCGAAAAATCCCGATAGAGTTAAATGCAAGTTGTGTGGGAAAGAAATGGGAGGAGGTGTGTATAGGATTAAGGAACATATTGCTCACCGTAAGGGGAATGTTTCCTCGCTACGAAAGAAGATCAATCGAAATGTATGAAAGCGATCTTGGAAGCGAAGAACAAGAAGAGGAAAATGAAAAGAGAAGCGGATGTGTTTAGTTTTGAGGTTGATGAGCTGAATAGAGAGGATGATTTGGATGAAGATCCAATGGATAAGTTCGTGATGGCCGTTACTACCGAGGATTCTTTAGGTGGCGAAACAGGACAAGAAAACAGTAATGATGTGGTTTCCGAGGAGAGAATGCGTTCAGTGCGTCAGTTTTTTGCTAGATGGATATATCAGTCTGGTATTCCTTTTAATGTCATTGAGAGTGATTCTTTTAGGTCGTTTTGTGAAGCTTTAGGACGATTTGGACCTGGTTGGGTTCCTCCGAGCCAGTGTGAACTGAGGGAAACATTGTTGGAGGAAGAAGAAGAAATAATTAAGGAAAAACTGAAGAGTCTAGAGCTAGAATGGGAACAGAATGGTTGCTCTGTTCTAATAGATAGATGGAGCGACACAAAGAAGAACATAATGAATTTGTGTGTCAATTCAAGAGGAGGGACATGTTTTGTTTCTTCGTAAGAGTTCTCAAAAGAACCTCAGACTGGTAAATTTATCTTTGAGTACGTTGATAAATGCATAGAGGATGTTGGTGTTGAGAAGGTCGTTCAGGTAATAACTGACAGTGCGGAGAACAACTTAGCAGCAGCAAAGATGTTGAAAGAGAAGAGACTAGGTATATTTTGGTCAACATGCGCTGCTGACACGGTTAAATTGATGCTTGAAGACATTGTTAAGTTGCCAAAGATTTCAAAATACATTGAGAAAGCTAAGGCTGTGACCATGTTCATATATGCTCATGAAAAAACCTTAGCTATGATGAGATGTCATACAAAGGAAAGGGATATTGTAAGACCTGGAGTCACAAGATTCGCAACAACCTTCTTGACCTTGCAAAGATTGTTGGAGAAGAAAGAGCAATTAAGGTTTATGTTTGTTAGTGATGAATGGGACAAATGCAAAGATTCCAATTATGTAAAGGGTAGAAGTGCCTACTATACTTGTTTGAGTCCTGCGTTTTGGGATGGGGTTAAACGAGTTGTGAAGGTTTTGGAACCATTGGTTAAAGTTCTTAGGATGGTCGATGGAGAGAAAAGACCTTCAATGGGGTTTATTTATGGAGAATTAGTAGAAGCCAAAAGATCTATCAAAGCTGCTACTAATAACTTGGAAAGGTACTACCAACCTATCTTAGATATCATTGATGAGAATATTAAAGGTAGGTTGGATTCTCCACTACATTTGACGGCATACTTGTTGAACCCATTTTACTTCTATAACGAACCACCCATTCAGCTGGATGGGACACTCATGACTGGCTTTCTCAATTGTGTTGAGACTTTTTACCATGGTGAGTTCGAGAAACAAGATAAAGCTGTTGACGAGTTTAGAATTTATCAGGATAAAGATGGATTTTTTGGAACACCTTATGCATTAAGAGGATGTGAACAGAATACCGACGAGTTTGATCCAGGTTTTTCTCTCGACTTTTGATCTACTTCTTATAACCTTTAAGTTTGTAAAACTATCACTTATGTTGCAATTGGATTATGTAGAGCACTGGTGGTCAATATACGGAGTAACAGTGCCTAGTTTGGAATCACTAGCGATGAAGATTCTCTCTTTGACTACTAGTTCATCTGGTTGTCAACAAAACTGGAGTATATTCGAAGAGGTTTGTGCTTTTGTGTATTAACTTTGATTTTGTTTCTAAATTTGGTAAATGTTAACTCTGAAATTATATCTTCTCTCATGCTGTAGATTCACAAAAGTGAGAGGAATAGACTAGACACTGATCAAATGAACAGTCTAGTTTATGTGCAATTCAATTCGAAGTTGTTCAACAAGCGAAAGAGGATCAAAGAGGAAAATGCTGATGTGCTCGTAGATGGTGATGAGGAAAATGTAGAGGAGTGGTTTGTGGAGGTGGATCGAGAAGTAGAGGAAGATAAACTTATTGATGAAGATGGTGATGATAATCCCTTCCACATTGAGTTTGAATCAGAGGACGAACAAGTGTGATTGTTGTGGGTGAGTTTCGAGAAGTAAATTATGCTTAACTTGCATAAATTTATCTATAATGACTTTGGATTTATGTGCTACTAGCTAAAATATCATTTCCTTTTTTGTCAACTTCAGTTTTCCCTCTATCACTTTATAAACAAAAATGGACATCATCTCAGGACAACCTATGTTTTCTCCTCTTCTGCTTTATCTTATCATGTTTTCTTTTATTCACCGCCGCAAGATCCCGACGGAGCCCTAGTCAAGTATCCAAGTCACCTCCGTGACCTCCACGGTTACCCATAATCGGAAACATACTTTCTAGTCGTAAAGAACCCACACCACTCATTCACGGAACTCGCAAAAACATATGGACCAGTCATGAGTCTTAAGCTTGGATTTTTAAATTCAGTGGTCATAGCTTCACGAGACGCTGCGAGAGAAGTGCTAAAAACACACGACCAAATCTTGTCTGGACGGTACATAAGAGAAGCGACCAAATCCAACAGTCATCATGAATTTTCCGTTGGTTGGCTTCATCCCTCGTCACCTCGTTTCAGGTAACTGCTATGATTTCTGTCAGGCCTGACCCTGACCAAAATATAGTTTAGTTTAAGGGCATCAAATTTTGAAAAAAGCTTTATAGTAGTATAGTACAGCCCTCGTACCAAAGTCCATATATGCCATATCACAAGAGTATTGACAGCAAATATGATAGCAACATTATGTAACTGCCCATAGACATTAGACTATCAAGTTGACCAAAAAAATGTATTGTTCATTACGAAGATGCGGAGAAAGAAACCCATCTAAATTAACAAAAATATGATTTTATGAAATACTAAAGCCCGACCAGCAGAAGATGCTCTGTCTCCAAATAATGTATTGATTTATAGTAAAACCTCGTGTGTCAAATTCCCACCTTAAATAATTAAATGGTTGCGTGACGTGGCTGCATAATGGTCACCACCGCCACTAACAACCACACCGTATCGAAATCCGTACGGACCATCCGGTGGTCAAAAAAGACTACAGTCTTAGTCTCACCGCCTATTATATTTTGTTGCTTATCTGCAATCTCGACGGACCCTACATGTGAACTCCACAAGTATTGTTGATGTAGTTATTTTAATGTTCTGTACTAATCGTCGAAGTAGTACATATGTACAAGAAGTGATTAAGAAAGATAAGATGCATAATTGATGATGAAAAGCTCGAGTACTTGGATGTAGGAGCAATTGTTAAGTTAGAAAAAAGAAATTTATCTTTGTTTGAAAACAAAAAAAAATCATGTAAGTAAAAATAAATTGACAAAAACGAAAACTTTTTTCTTATGGGATTTGGCAACTTTCTCTTATATGTGATTGTAAGAACTTGAAGCACAAGTTTCTGTTTGTTATACAAGGGGACGTGACCTTACGAGAATGTGGATTTGAGAGAACAAAAATCCCTAAGAGATTTGATGTGAGAGAGATCGTGTGATCGTGTGCGACAGAGTATCGCGGTTTGTTGCTTGTGTGATCAAGCTTATTTGTGTGTTGGTGTTGACGTACGTGTTGGAGTGTTTTGGTGATCGTTTGGTTCGTTGGTGTGGTGATTCGTGTGTGGTGGTTGTTCCAAAGACTTGGAGAATTGAAGTTTAGGTTCAGGGGGAGTTTACCTCAGAGTTAGGTTATCTTGATTAAATCTAAGCTCAGGGGAGTTTAGTTATAATTAAGAATAGAGATTTATCCTTAAGAACTCACATAATAGAACGTAGCGGTAAATCAAGAGGGTTATGCTTAGTTTTCGCGTTTGCGAATAGATAGTATTTGTTTTTTTGTTCTAGTTAACTCGAAATCTGGACTTGGTTTCGGGAAGAAGAAAACACCGAACTTCGTTAACAAATTTCTTATCTCATTTACTTTCTATATTTTATTGTTATCTTATCTACACTTACAAGTATAACAAAATTTTGCTTTCCATTCTATTTTTTGAACTTATATGTTCCTTGGTTCAAAAACTCATGTGTATAATTTAATAATATCTACAAAGAAAAAAAGAGAATTTAAGAATTAATTACTTAATTAGTATAACCTATATAGTTAAACATAACTATGATATCGTCTCCTTCTCATAGAGACTTTTATACATGTCGAATTGTCGACGATATCTATTTGATTTACTGACACATGTTTTATTCTCGTTAATTATATAATTTTGATATATGTCGGATTTTCATAAAGTTCAAATTTTAAATAATAAAATAGTATTGTTATAAATCTAGAAATTTTATGATTTTATTGAAAATAATGAGATACGTGGACTGGATGGTGAACCATTATGGATATAATGCATAGTAACATTGAATAGTACAAAGTCATTGAAAAACCAGATACACTATTACAATTTTAATGAAAAATACGTGAGTAGAGGAAATAATCATCTAACATTCATTGACAAAAATAAATAATAATAATTGTCTAACATTTAATAGTACAGACTACAGAGTAATTGAAAACCCAGTTAAATTTGGAGAAATTTGGAGGCAACAAACAAGTGTAGAGATGATTATTTTTTTTTGGTAGGGAGCTAAGTCTTCAAAGCGGAAGAGGCTTGAAGAGCAAAGAGTTGATGAGGTCTTTGAGCTTTTCATGGGGATTGGTAAACCCATCACCCTCTTTGTAATCATAAACATTGATCATTCGTACATTGTTGAGGACCCGTACCAGAATCGGACGTGGCACACTTTTTATCGTCAAGAACTCCTCCATGACTATCTTATAATTATCTCTAATTATCTTCTTCATTTCGCTAACGGCCACTTCTTTGGTAACTCCATGTTGCTTAATGTAACATTTCACCCCATTAGCCACCTCTCCTCTCCTCATATCTTCTTCAAAGCCGGCTATGTCATTTTCAAGACGATATATAATAGCCAAAGCTAATATAATTTTGGGTTCGGATATGAACCACTCGTTCGTTTGATTTTCATCACAGTTTTCCATTGCTAAAATGCTGTACATTGCAAAGCATCTAACTGCAGCCGTGACAGTCTCAACCTCAATGTAGTCATCAAAGGTTGGAACATGACCTGCTCGTGCCCATTTTGATATGTCTAAGAACGCTCTCCCAACGCGTTTGATCTGCACAATTCTCAATATAACACACAAATTAAGATTAATATTTATAGACTTTTAGCGAAACAAAACCCTAAATTGTTTGGCTTACTTCTTCTATTATGTATTGCACAGTAGAGGATCTTCCTCGCGGCTTCATTTCTCTTTCAATATCTTCCATAGTTTCAATTATATTTTGGATGACGATTCTCAAAGAGATCGGTAGTTCGTCAATGGCACCAAGATCCCACCTAAGGTATTTCCATGCATGCACTTGTTAAAACTCGACATCATAATTATAAGACCAATAATATATACATAAATACCTAACACATACTGCATACATATTCATTACCTTTGCAAAGAATCAATAAGACTTCTAACTTCAGAGAAAGTTCCATATGCATCACATGTGTCATCCAGTACTACCAATATTTGGGAAAGTTTAGTGGTTATAATTCTCCCAAGTGAATATTTTGGCTCGACATACAATGCTAGGCAACCGACGAAGGTCTCAAGAAGCCTGTCTCTAGTGTAAGGTAGCTTCTTTACAAGATCAATGTCCTTCCACCATCTACAACCACATAAACATTGAATAGAAAATGTTAAGAATTTTGCATCTTAAATAAAGTAAATAAAAGGCATAAGCGGATCCACATATTTTGAATTGGAAGCTTATTAATTTGTATATGATACTAAATGATCCAACATGAGTATGTTGCCCAGTATATATATATATATGATCCAATAGAACTTTTATTTCTAGATTGGCTAGTAAAAATTAACAACTCGAAGAAACTGTAAGTGTGACCTACAATCAAAAACTTCCTTTCCTTTATTATTTAACAAGTACCTGTTTGGATTTATCACCGAATATATGTATGAGCAATACACAAAAGCATAGATAATCACCTTTGTTAAAACAAAGAAACAAAACAGAGTTTGTTGACGGGAGTTAGTCTTGTCCAAAAATTATCTTGGACACAAGATCTTATATAATATGAGAAGGTTTTCTTCTAACTTTTCCTACCATTGCGACATTTGGCACTCTCTTTTGGTGACATGTGTCCTCTTTCATTTCATTAATGTTTGTTTTAATTTATTTAAAATCCTTAGTTTTGAAAGTTTGTACCTACAATTTAATTCCAAAAAGATATTTCTCTTATCCTATTGATACATTTTTGACATGTATTTAAATTGAAATTTGTGTCTAATTTGTTTTGCCAAAATTATTATCTACTTAATCACCACTTATTCATCTGATTCAAAATTATGGATCAGTTAAATTTAACTTCACAAAATATTAGTACATTTTTAAAACTTCTCATAATATTAGTACATTTGGCATCTATTTTTAAATTTAATTGTTTTCCTCATTTTTCTATCTTACATAATATTTTCATATCTCCATAATATACATTTCTAATCTTTTCTAATTTGTCTCTTTTTTTTTTCTTCTTTCCAATCTAACTTAAAAAAAAAAAAATTTATAACACCACTTTATTCTCACATTTTACAACTCCAAGTTGGAGTATTTATTTACAATTTTTATTACACAATACATTTACACAAAATAATAGTACATTTTTAAAACTTCTCATAATATTAGTAATTTGGCATCTATTTTTAAATTTAATTGTTTTCCTATTTTTTCTATCTTACATAATATTTTCATATCTCCATAATATACATTTCTAATCTTTTCTAATTTGTCTCTTTTTTCTTCTTCTTTCCAATCTAACTTTTTTAAAAAAACAATTATAACACCACTTTATTCTCACATTTTACAACTCCAAGTTGGAGTATTTAATTACAATTTTTATTACACAATACATTTAATGTATTTATATAGTATAATATAATTTACAGGAATTATTAAATTTAATATGTCATCCCATACAGTAAAACCTCTATAAATTAATACTCTATAAATTAAAAACTTCTCTAAATTAATAAATTCTTTAGGTTCCGAGTTAGGACCAATGTAAAATATGACATAAATCGATAAATTAATAAGATAATAATTTTTTTCCAAGTTGGTCCCAACATTATTAATTTATAGAGGTTTTACTGTATATTGTTTTATAAATGTCTCAGTGAATGAAATTCTAACTTATGTAACAGTCAATGTAATTTTAATAAAGAAATATAGTAACATGCATTAATTGTATTAATGTATTGTTCCATGTGTTACGCTTCTCTCAAAATAAATGTTTGCGACGAGTTTTTTTCTCCAGTAACGCTTTTCATGTGGCTTCTAATACCGAAATATATTAGTGTTTTTTTTTTGTTCTGGAATTAGTTACCTAAAGTAAAACCCACAAATGAACTTATTAAAACATATGTAACGTCAAATAACTCTAAATTGATGCATTAGGCTAACAGATAACCACAATAACTCCAATTAATTCAAAACATTAAATCTAATTAATTTTAGAGTGTAAATTAATACTCTAAATATTGACTCCAATTAATCTACTTCTATATATTACCCACATGTGAAGCTAAAAAAACTATTGTAGAGTTTTTGCTTTTTCCAGTCCATTCTTTTATTTTTTATTGACTTTTAGTTATTTTCTCTTTATTTCAGGCTATCGTCCACATAGTAAAAATATCTACAAAAGTTTTCTCATTGGTGTTCAAGTTAGGTTTGTGATTTCATATGGTGTTCAAGTTAGGTTCACCAACACCATTAGTTCTACATAAAAGTGTTCTATTTTTTTAAAGTTCTATTTTTAATTGTTTCTCTATTTTTCAACTCACCAATAAGATTTATATACATACATTGAGAAAATTTATATCTATTATTATGGTCAGTTAAAGTGTAATTATAAATTTAAGTATTTAGATAAATGGCATTACATTATATTTATTAAATTTTTACTCTTATGATCTATATGTATTCATAAATTTGAAAACCATAAGTTTGTTAAAAAGTTATGATATAAATTGAAAAACCATTTATGTAATTATTCTCAACATCACTTATCAAAAAGTTAAGAGTTTGTTTTCAAATTTATGAATACGTAAAGCTGTTTCAAGATGATTTTGTTCTTGAATACGTAAAACTCATGGGATCATGAGTCATTCTTTATTTGATAGTTTATGTCATTCTTTATTTCTTTTACATAATTACTCAACGTTTGAGAGGGATCGACGTTTGAGTTTCATATAGCTTGAGTAAATAGTTTTTTTTTATTTTTAATATTGTATAACATTTGACTTGATTATGTTTTGAATTCAATTTTTTTAGTCAATCATACAAATTAAGTAAGAAATAAAGATCATATGAAAGAATATAACATTTGTATTTATTTTTATCAAAATTTTCATAAAACCAACCCAATGAAATTCAACCAAAAATTTTAAAAAGTTCCACCAAAGATTTTCTTTTAATCTATCTTCATGGGATTTTTGAAAAGAATTATGTTTGCTAAGGGTAATTGCATAGAATATCATAATTGACTAATTCAGTTAAAACCTAACATGCCATTAAAGTATTTAGATAAACGGCATTACATTATATTTATTAAATTTTTGTACTCTTATGACCTATATATATATACAAAGTATATAATAAAATTTTTATTATATCATCTGAAGTCATTTTCCTAAATTAAATATGATTATAATTAAGTGTAACATATATATTTGTTTTTTGTGCCAGACCCATTACAAGAGAAACCAGAGACTGTTTTGACAATGAATCGGCATCTGAGTTCTACAAACGGGGAATGAAACTAAACAAAATAACATCAAAGGTAGAAGATAAATTCAGGATATCGAAAAGAATCCCATGAAGCTCCTTGTGTTGAAGCTCTGATTTTAAAGCTTTGACTACCTGTGCTGAGTCGGAAGCGAGAGAGAGATGTGAAAAATCCAGATTAACTATATAAAATATGTTTTTGCTCATTTGGACCACCTTGCTATTTTATTAAATTTAATCATTATCACAAATTATTTAAATTTTTCTTTAATTTTTAACATATATAGATAAAATTTAGCAAAAAAATAATAAATATGATTATGTTTTACCTTTGATCTCCTAATTTTATTATGGATTATATGGATATAATATCTAAAGCTTATTGTCGAGGGAAAGTCATGAGATCAGGAAGATCTACCTTCTGATGAGATCCAACGAGGGAAAACGGCCAATATCAACCCCAATTATCAACTCGAACCCACATAAATTTCAAATAACAAACCTGAACTATGTAATCGTTAGCCAATTTTAACATATACCTGTTATTAAATAATGTAACAAACCTGAATTATTTAACTTTTAGCCAATTGAATAAAATGAATGATTCAGATACAAAAGAACAGATAATTACGACTTAACAATTCTAATCGACATTAACAAATACAAAAAAAAAAAAAAAAACTGTGTTGAAATTGGATAACGGTTAGATAGTTTAGGTTTGTTTTTTGAAAATTGTATGAGTTCGGGTTGATAAGTGCAGGGGGTCAGAGTTTGGGATGAAAAAAGCCGCATAGAAATAGTTGGAGTTGATTTTGACCGTTTTTCCGATCCAAGGATCATGAATCAACAAACAAGAGACTGTACGATGAGGTATGATATATATTTCCACAGTAAAATATTTTATGTAAATTAAGAAAAAGTAGTGGTATATATTTATGTCATACCATCTTGAATAAAAAAGAGCAAAATTTATTTTTTAGCAATTCACAAAAGTACTTCGAAAAGGAACATAAAAGTTATTTTAAAAAACAAATTTCAAAAAACTATATTAATAATCGAACGTATTACTTTAATACAAATTTCATTAGTATTCAGAATTAATATTAAATATATAACCCACGCATCGCGTGGGCAGCTTTCTAGTATATAAATAAGAATGTTAGTTTTTATATGCAAGTTAAATCGAGGAAATCTAATGGTGCGATCAGACGTATGACTATTCTACCGATCGGTTAAAGTATTGAATTGATCGGTATAGAAAGCCCCTTATAACCGATCGGTTGGGCCTCATAACATATCGGTTGGGCTTTGTAAAATTATTTTTTTCTCTTCTAGGACACCGCTCTCTTATATATAAATATCCCATGCATTCTAGCCGTAGAAGCATGTAAATATTATGTTTTTTCTAGTTTTATAGGATTATTAGTTTTGTTATTCTTTTCTTCTTTATCAAAATACTTGAGGGATCTTTTCTAAAATCTTGATTCTTCTTCTGCAATTATCACATGTACTTAGGTCATGTGTGAGTTGTCTCATCATGGATTTTTACTGATCGGTATTGCACTCCACCGATCGACTTGCAATTTGATCGATCGGTTGGAATCTCCAAAGAGATCGCTTATATGTTAGACCTATGTGTATGTACTCTTGCTATGATATCTACTAGTTCCCTGTCTTTGATTATTCTTAAAGTCTTAGATGAATTAGGCCAATTCTCCTATTTCCCATGATCTAATTCCTCGAGCCACCAAAAGTGGTGTTGAATTGATGGATCTATTATTAGATAGACAAATTTCCTTAACCGACCTCACCAAAAGTTGTGTTATTGCGTTTTGTACAATTTATTGGATTATTTTTTTAATGCTTGAATTGATTGCTTGGAACAAGCCTCAGCAAAAGCTTATGAAGCTCTGTAGTTTTTTCAAGAAATTATCACTAAAACACCATTAGAGTTATTCACAATAGAAGTCTGATTTCATGAACTTTAAGAATCATAACCAAACTTACATGTCTTTCATATATTCTCTGATAATTTCTTTGAAACTCTATTTTTTATATTATCATATTTTATTTTATAGTTATTTAATTTATTATTTATTTCTGCAAATTCTCTCTGAGATCTTGTAACTCTATGTTGTTCTAGCTAGTTTTAACTCTTTATAAGTTTTTTGTGTATTTCTTTGGCATCTGTGAATTCGATTCCTAAGTACTAGTGCGTTTGCATGTGCACTTGCGGTTATTATTGAGATGAGATCTAAAGTAACATATGAGAAATACAAGTCTATCTAAAGTTTTGAATCGGAAACTCATGAGTTTTAAATATATATAGGAAACAAAATATAAGTAAGTCAACGTACTTGGTGAGAGATTTTAGCTCTCTAATGTAATGGAGCTGGCAGAAGTTGAAGTTGAGCTTCGCAAACTTGAGCAACGTCTCATCATGACCTTCTTTTTCATAGAAAGATATATATTCCCTCGCAGCTGCTATTTCTATTTTATGAAACCGAGGTTTGTACAATGCGTTTAGTACATGTCTTGAGATATGAGGAGCGGTCACTTCTTGGCCGGCCAAAACTTCCAATAGTGATACCTTGTGAAACTCAGAGCTTCGTCCATTATATTTTCGGAGGGTGTTGCGAGATGTGCTGCTTCGTACAATTGTAGCATTCCTTTAACATCCTTGACTAGATGTTCCTTGAACTTTGCATCAACACCTTTGAACTTATCGAACACATCTAAATTGACACCGAGATATGTTATATATGTATATAGCCAAATATGCATGTATCAAAAATGTCAATCAAGGATACTGATAACTCTTACCACAAGAAATTTTGTGTCCATATAATCTGAAAACCTCAAACATGATGGCAGTTGTTTCCAAATCATCTTTGTCTGTAATTAACATGTCCAACTTCTGAAAAGCCTGGTCTAGGATCTCTTCAATTTCCTTCTCAAAGTAATGGGAAGTACCAAGACAGATAAGCAAGTGGATGAGAACTATTCTCTCTTTATCAGTGTTGTGAGAGGACATTAGCATGTTTCTCACTTTCGGCTTTATAATTGATTCAATCTCTGTAGCTAGTGCGTAAAATTCCTACAAAATATCAGTGCTCAAGAATCATGTTCTGAAAAAAAGACTGATTATGAAACACATTCATCAGATCAGGTACTTACCGAGTTTTCGGTGGGGACAGAGAGGATGTGATCTCCCCAAAGAGTGGGAGCAACATGAGGCAAGGGACGACTACTCCCAACATCACCACTACTCTCACTAGTTGCCTTAACACATAAGTTGTGTTTTGTCGATACCCGAGAAAGAGAAAGTGTAACGTTGTTGTGAAGAAAATGCAAAGGAAAGCACAAGAGTTTGGTCTTAAGAGGAAGACGAGTACCGTTGCCAAGGTGAGAGAGAGTTTTAGCACCGAAACCCATTCTTGCTGCTTCCATTATTCTGTTTCTCTTCTTTTATGTTTGATGTATTTTTTTCTAAAGCTTTCTCATATGTACCTTGTGCTCACGCTTTAAGTACACATAATTCAAATCGTGCAAGTGTTGAAGCTGTAACATTTATTGACGGATTTAACAAGAAATTAATCAAAAAAAAATTGGCATGGTCGTGCACATGAGATCCGCAAACAGTGCATATAAAATTGTTTTTTTAGAAAAATTAATAAAGAAAAACAGTGAAATTAATTACGCAGAATTAATTGGATTGTTTCTCCCAATTGTAATAAAGAAAAATATCGATGTTTGAATAAAAAAATTTCAAACAAAGAGAAACACAAACTCGTGGTTCTGAACACTACTTTTGCATGCAATCAACCATGGTTTGGAGCATTATAGGACAAAACTAAACATACATATTATTTTATTACTATCATATTTAAGGAAAATGGCTGAGTTATGAGCAAACGGCTGACTTACGAATATAACCCAGCTTGGAGTTACGAGAATGTGCAATTTTCTCGTCAAAAAATGTAAATCTGTAATTTTTCCGCCGAAAACAAAAGTTCGTAATTTTCCGCCAAATAATAGTGATGATGATGATGATGATTATTATTATTATTATTTTATTTTAATTATTAATTTATTTATTACATTATTGGATCAACCCATCAAATAAAATGAGTTTATGGGTTGACTCAACTCATTTGGCTAAATGGAGGAAAAAGCCGTCGTCACGACTAGATCATTTTGGTTGGATCTTTTACGATTGTCAGGATGTGATCAGTAACTCTCTGGGCCGATCTGTTAGGTGTTGGATGTTAAAATGATAATGGTTGGTTCTTGCAGTAGGAGACAAAGTAAATCTTTATCTACATTGCATAAAAGGATCCTAACTACTGAACTCTCAAAATATACACATAAATTAGTATATTTTAATATTGTTATTTAAAAGAAAAATCAGATTAGAAAAGTAAAGCTAGCTCAAATGTATTTAGAAATATACAAGAAAAATTAAAATCTGTGAATATGTTTTTTTTTGTTAGTTCAAATTTGTTTAAAAATTAAATTTTTTGACACTTGTGACAATCTAATCAATTAATTTACACGTATCACGATCATGTTAATTGAAATTTTGAAACCAAGCTTTATATAATAATAGTACCCGCATAAATATCCGAATATAAAAATATATGTTAAATTTTTTTTGGTAATATTTAATATTCTAAGTGGTGATCCACATATTGTTTTTCTATTTTATTTATTTGTTTATGAAAACCGGATTTGAACCTTATACGCTCCATTTTATAATTTTTTTATATCAAGTACTTAAATTAGTTTTAGTGTATTATATAAATTTTGAAGAAAAAAACCAAAACATGAAGAAACGTTTAACCATGTGGTCCATGTCGTTATTAGTATTTAATTATAAGCGAATAATCAATTATTAGAAAGGAAAGAGATATTTGGAGGCAACAAACAAGTGGAGAGGATCACAAGGAGCCAATGATAGAATATAATTTGTGGGAGGCTTGTTTGGCTATTACAAAGGAAAGAGATATTGGGCAAAAAAAAAAAAAAAGGAAAGAGATACTTGGAGGCAACAAAACAAGTGTAAAGGATTGTTTTTGGCAAGTAGCCAAGTCTTCAAAACGGAAGAGGGTGGAAGAACAAAGAGGTGATGAGGTCTTTGAGCTCTCCGTGGGGATTGGTGTATCCATCACCCTCCTTGTAATAATACAGCTTGATCAATCGTATCATGTTGAGGCACCGTACCAGAACTGGACGTGGCACACCTTTTGTCGTCAAGAACTCCTCCATCACTATCTTATAACTATCTCTAATCATCTTCTTAATTTTTCTAACCGCCATTTCTTTAGTAACACCATGTTGCTTCATGTAACAATTCACCCCGTTAGCCACCTCTCCTCTCCTCATCTCATCCTCGTAGGTGACTATGTCGTTTTCAAGACGGAATAAAAAACAAAAAGCTTGTAACATTTTGGGTTTGGATTCGAACCACTCGTTCGTTTTATTTTCATCACAATCTTCCAGCGCTATAAAGCTTAACATTGGCAAGAATCTCATCCCTGACGAGTTAATCCCAACCTTAATGTAGTCATCAAAGGTTGGAACGTGATCTGATCGTGCCCATTTTGATAACTCTACGTACGCTTTCCCAATGATCTTAATCTGCACAATTCTCAACATAATACACAGACATTGTTATTTATAGACATTGAGCGAAAATAAACCCTAAACTGGTTGACTTACCTCTTCTATTGAGTATTGCACACTAGATGATCTTCCTCGGGGCTTCATTTCTCTTTTAATATCTTCCATAGTTTCCATTATACTTTGGCTGACGATTCTCAAACAGCTCGGTAGTTCATCAAGGGCACCTAGATCCCACCTAAAAGTTTTCACATGCATGTACGTACTCGTTAAAACTAGACGTTGTTGTAAGACCAGTGATATACATACTAACTACCTTTGCAAAGAATCGATGAAACTTCTAACTTCAGAGAAAGTTCCATATGCATCACATGCGTCATCCATAACTGTTACAATTTGGGAAGCTTTAGTGGTTACAATTCTCCCCAATGCATATCGTGGCTCGAAAAACATCGCTATGACACCAGCAAAGGTCTCCACAAGCCTGTCTCTAGAGAAAGGTAGCTTATATGCAAAATCAAGGTCTTTCCACCATCTGCAACCACATAAACATTAAATAGAGATTGTTATGAATCTTACAACTTTAATCATATTAAAATAATATATAAAAGGCATAATGTCAATAATCCACATATTATGAATTGAAATTTTGAATTGGAAGCTCATTAACTTCTATTATTATAACAGTCCAATAGATCCGACTTAAGTATGTTGCTCACTAAATTATATTCCATCCATCAAAGAGCTTTTTTGAGATTGTTCAATGCATGAGAGCCACTATCTCTTAGTAACGTTTTAAGAATCATATAGCTAGCTGCAGCCTAAAGTAAGATAAGATCTAAAGTAATATATAAAACATACTGTGTATATTTATTATCAATTGACTTTAAATACTAAATTAGAAACTCATTGGTTTTGGTAAAAAAACTCTATATATTATAAGAAAAGCCGAGAAAATAAATAAAACTAGGCCAACGTACTTAGTGATAGTTTTTAGCTCTCTAACGTAATGGAGCTTGCAAAAGTTGAAGTTTAGCTTCCCAAACTTGAGCAGCGTCTCATCATGTTTTTCTTTTTCATAGAAAGAAATATATTCCCTCGCAGCTGCTATTTCTAGCTTGAGAAACCGAGGTTTGTACAATCCATTTAGTATATGTCTTGAGATATGAGGAGCGGTCGCTTCTTGTCCGGCCAAAGATTCCAAGTAATGCCTTGTAAAACTCAGAGCTTCGTCCAATATATCTTCGGAGGGTGTCGCGAGATGTGCTGCTTCGTACAGCTGTAGCATTCCCCTAACATCACTGACTAGGTGTTCTTTGAACTTCCCATCAACACCTTTGAATCTATCGAACACATCTAAATTGAAACCGGGATAAATATTATATTTGTATATAGCCAAAAACATGTGTCATGTCAAAAATATGCATGCATGCATTCAAAATGTTTCTTACCACAAGAAATCTGGTGTCCATATAATCTGAAAACCTCAAACATGATGGCAGTTGTTTCCAAATCATCTTCGTCTGCAATTAACGAGTCCAACTTCTGAAAAGCCTGGTCAAGAATCTCTTCGATTTCCTTCTCAAAGTAATGGGAAGTACCAAGACACATAAGCAAGTGGATGAGAACTAATCTCTCTTTATCAGTGTTGTGAGAGGACATTAGCATGTTTCTCACTTTCGGCTTTATAATTGATTCAATCTCCATCGCAAGTGAGTCAAATTCCTACAAAATATCAGTGCTCATCTTCTGCAAGAAAGACTGATTATGAAGCGCATTCATCTGACGTACTTACCGAGTTTTCGGTGGGGACAGAGAGGATGTGATCTCCCCAAAGATTGGGAGCAACATGAGGCAAGGGACGGCTACTCTCAACATCACCACTACTCTCACAAGTAGACTTAACACATAAGTTGTGTTTTGACGATCTCCGAGAAAGAGTAATGTGTTTGTGAAGCAAATGCAAAGGAAAGCGCGAGAGTTTGGTCTTAAGAGGAAGACGAGTACCGTTGCCAAGGTGAGGAAGAGTTTTAGTACCAAAACTCATTCTTGCTGCTTCCATTATTCGGTTTCTCTTCTTTATGTTTGATCTATTTTTTTTTCTAAAGCAATCGCATTCGTAACTTGTGGTCACGCTAGCTTTAGTAACTTTTATTGACGGATTTACAATAAATTAATCAAAGAAAAATATATATTTGGGTCGTCGTTCACATGAGATGCGAAAAAAATGCGAGGGAAAATGTCAGAGGTTCATTTACTTCGGAAATATACAAAATCACGTTATTAATTTCCACCCGATTGCTTTGTCTCTATGTGCAAACAGCTATTTTGACCGCAAACAATGTATAGAAAAATTGAGCATGTGAAATTAATTACGTAGAATTAATTGGATTGTTATTCCCAATTGACCTCAATAGAAATATTGATGTTTGAACAAAAAAAATATCAAACGCATTATACACTACTTTGCATGATGCAGCCTGCAACCATGGTTTGGACTTTGGAGCATTATACGACAAAACTAAACGCATTTTGTTTTCCTAGAAACAGATTTGTATCATTTTTATTTACCGTCTCCACTTTATGTTTTACGTTTTTTAAAACCCTCTTAATTTCTTCTACTCTTTGTTCGTCTCATCCTGTATATCTCTCGATCTATATATAATAGCAATCTAATAAATACCATTTGCACATCTGAACGGTTGCGTCTTTTTATCGCAACCTTTCGTTTAAATCGGTTATTTTTTTACGGTTATGTCTTTTTATTGAATTTTCTCTTTGAATTTTCGTTGAATTATTTACGGTTATATTTGTTCAATTACAGTCGTATCTTTTCAGTTTACAGTTATATCTTTATAG